AACTGGCATCTGTCAGAACAGTGCAGACACAGCACTGGTTTTAAAGCACAGTAGCCACAGGTGTCTTTGGGTTCTCCCCTCCCCATACCCTGAGGAAGACCCGAGCAGAGAAAGCCATGGATTAGCACTTATCTTCTGAGCTGCCAGGAGCAGTGCTCAGGGAACACCACACAAAGGCACACAAGCTGAGGCAGCCATGACACTCAGTGCTGCTTGCCGATACTGCTGTGAAATCCTGCACAACCAGGCAAACACAGAGAGCCCACTTCATTTGCCAAGTACTGCCAAGTTCTCCTGCAGCCTCAGTAACATGATCACCATTTTCCAATCATCTAATAATTTTCTTCAAAGAAATCGCAAGAGTCATCTTTCTTAATGTGTCAAAGGACTAATTCTGATCTTCCATGTTTTACACCACTAACTCAAATGAATTCAGCAAACTATTCCCGAGATAAGAATGTGCTCAGTACTTCAAGATAATTGCCCTTTCCTATGATGGACATAATTTTTACAAGCTAACGGAAAGCATTAATGTACCATCACATAGGAACCAATCCTTTTACGTAGAATTCTAGTTAAATAAAATACTACGAGGAAAATGTTCTGAGTCTTTTTTTTCTCCCTCTAGACAAGTCTTAGTCATTTTTCCATTAATTGTTTTAAAGTATGACACTGGTAGCTAGTGTTCAGTAAAGACACATTTATACATATAAGCTGTACTATTTAGCCTTCCAATTACGATCCCTAATAGACCATGCCATAAGAACGCAGTAGGCGTAAAATATTAGGATTTGCACAAAACATGAGAGCTCGCATCTATAGTGGCCAAGAATTCAGAAGAAAGAAATGCCACTCTGAAAGCTTTTTTTCTGAGTTTATAAACAAACAAACATCCATTAGAAAGAATACTGAAGATATGCCACACAAAGGCATGGAACAAATGCCTTAAGCACCATGCATAAATCAACGTATGCTAGATGATTAACCATCATCCTCAAAGTGGAGAGAGTGAGCACGTGCACGTGCACATGCAAGAGCAAGCGTTTTTATACACTGCATGCATAAATGCCTTCACTCAAAAAATTGTAATTAAAATAATTCTCAGACACTCTGGATATTTATAGTAAACATACAGAAAATAATCCTTTAAGCATGTATGAAAGTCTACACCATCCATTCTTTGTTACAGCAATCGTATCTGGGAGTTCAACATGATAGAAATGCAGAATGTTATAGAAAGAAAAAAAATAACTCTAATCCTCCACAGCAAACATCTTGTTATTGACAATACATACTGAATGATTACTAGATTTGCTTAGCAGGAAGAGGTGTGTTTCAGTCGTCAAAACTGTACTTCTGAAGTCCATCAAAAAAATGTAAAACATGATTGTTTGTTGTTATTCAATACCAAAAAGCATCCTATGGGATGGTGAAGAGGATTACACTAATTTTTTTGATCTTTTACAAACAGATTTCACTCAATAAACTCCTTGTATGTTTTTATAATCACATCATACTGGAGGCTGTTGTTCACTGTCAGGAAAATTTCTTTGCTTGAGAAGAATGAAGAGCAACTAAAAACAGGTCCATGGGGATTTCTTGAAGAAAAATGAACATCACAATGGATTCTGAACTCCAACACGGGTGAACAAAAATCTGTCTACCATTGTAGACTAAAAGGAAAACTTCCCTGAAAGGATCATCAAAGGTCCTCCTAAGAAAACTACACTCAGACAAAACCATAATGTATAGCCCTGCTATTATCTTTTGATACAACAGCCACTTTCTATCAAATCTGCAAGGGACAGTCTCACATCACAGTGACAACCACACTCTGGCTAATCCATTTTGGTTCTGTTGCTTCTTCCTCACTCAAATGTACACTGAGCTTGGAAGGAAGGGTGAGATAAACAAGGAGGCTGAGGATACTGCATGAGGAGGAACTCCCTGTTACGTGGGAGAACTGCAGCAATACAGGACTGTTAAAAGCCAACAGCAATAGGACTGTGAATAACAGCTGCTAATGTAAGACGCTATACACAATGTAGGAAGGTGAGGAGCAGGGTGAAATCTTGGGGGAGGAAGATTGTTTGTGAATATATTTGTACATTTGAAGCCATGTGTAGCTTTGAAACCTATTTAAGGAACATAGTACTATCACATACTCACCATGACATGTACTTATCCACATGCTCGGGATAACCAGAGAGTTGCAGGCCCGCTCACGCAAGCGTGCCACTGTGTTTCAAAAGCACTGAGTTGCTGGTCTACCTTTAACCAGACTCACTTGTGAAGAGCTTTAAGGGATGCCTGAAAAAATACTAAACTTCAAGAGATATGAACTGTTCTTATACAACCAGAAGGCAGATGATTAGCTAATAAAATATATAAATATAGGATCAGGCACAGACAGAAGCAAATAAAATACTTTTCTGCAGAAGAGATTAGCGTAGACGTTTCAATGGATTAGGAAGTTTCAGTGACAGAAGGTATACTTAATATATAAAATCCATATAATGAGAAGCAGTGAAAAAAAATAGGGCAACTGTCATGTGTCCAAGAAATATCTTCGTAAAAAAGCTGTCAAATATAAACACTTCACAAAAACAAAGCACTCCGCAACTGAACAAGGCAAATTTAATTCAGAATTTACGATGTACCTCATCATAGATTTTATAATTACAAATATCCCTGAACAGCTGGATCTCTCCAAACTGAAATAATACTTACCTTCTCCTGTTAAATATCTCCCGCCTGGCATTTATGATTAGTTGGACATAAATATTGCTGTCGGTTTATTCTAACAAAAGGACAGTCGAGAAGGAGTATGACCAATGCGTATAAAAAGACCCAGAGCCAAACACCTGAGAAGGGTAAGAACTAATTAAGCTCAAGGACCACACTGGCATAAGAACAAATGGTTATAAATTGGCCATGAAGAAATTCAGGTTGGAGATGAAACAACCTAATGTATTCAGATGACAATTCACAAATTTGTGATCAGGACGACCTGGCTGTTTGTAATAACAATGACTTGAACTCAAGTGACCCAGGATGCCACCCACTTCCAGTCACACCTCCTAAAACCAAAATAAACTTTAACATTCTTGCAAAATAACTATGTTAAATCCTGTAACACATCTGCTTACTGAAAAAATACAATATAAGCTATAAATAATAATAGAAAAACACCTACAAACTCAGATGTGAATGAATTTCCAATGGTTTAAAAACTGATTTGAATAGTTCCAAGAAACCATGGATCTTTATTCAAGCTATAAAGACTAAGAAGGTTCATTTCCAGCAAGAGGTAGGGCTAAGATAAATCTGCCTAAACCGCATTACAGCAACAAACTTCGGAAGATCCTTGCACTTCCTGCCAATGGTCCTTATTCTTGTTCCTTTCGCCCTCCAGATAAGAAGGAAATAAAAATGCAGATATGGCATCCCTTACCATCACAGAAAATTAATAACAATCTTCTTATATTTGACGCCTTCTGGAATTTGTTTTTACTCTCCCTGCCACAGAAGCTCAAGAAAATAATACAGAAGAATAACCAATGCATGTAAGGGATATACCAATCAATCAAAAGTCTGGCCCATCCATTGGCCTCTTTCACTGACTTTGGTAAATTTTATACCAGAAGCTATTGAGAACACACACAAATTTAGCAAGTACATTTAGAATACTCCATGTTTTCTTTCATAGGGTGCTTTTTTACTAGCTGTGAAACTAGCAAACTCTGCATCAGGAAAGTTCACACTAGGTAAGTGAAGCACTTCATCCTTGGAACAGACCGATTTGTACTTCTTCAGGAATCATAAAAAAGATCTTCTATTGCCAGCTGATCCTTCATGAGATCCAAGTTTTAGTCTCAGCTTCTACTGATTCTAAGCAATATATTTGCAGTCATTAAATACAATAGCATTTTGAGTGTCTTTTGTAATACTCATGTTCAACAGAAATGTGATTTCAATTGACCTAAACTTTTTTGAAAATTAAGAACAAATTAACTTCGCTGTTTCACCTCAAAAAATCTTCTTTCCTTTCTTCTCCTCTTTTCCATTTTTTGGTAGTTTAAAAAAAAACAGAAAACACATACAACATCCAGACAAGGATGTCCTTGTTAAATCACCTTCTCTTTCCCCAAACGTCCATTATTTAGCACATATGTAGCTCTTAAGCAACAAACATTCAAGCACTCCTGGTCTAGGAAGCCCTGATCACAACATCACAAACATTCTCTTTCTGGACAAAAGCATATTTAAATACTTACAAGAAAGGAGATAAGATCACTGTCCATACAGTGATCTCCTGTGGTTTTTCATAGTGATACCTAAGTTTACTCTCAATTACTGTTATTTTGCTTTATTGAAAATACTAAATTATCCTGCGGGACACAAATTTTTGTTCATCAGATAGGTAGTGGATTTGTTCAGCAAACAAAAATCCTTTTCAGTTTGAACTACTTTTCACACTCTTTTTTCACTTCAGACTGAATAAGAAATCAATTATTTACAAGGTTCTAATCTGAAATTATTAAACATGGCTTCTTGCTCTGAAAATTCCTCTTTCCTATCTTTCTTGAAAGAAAAATACCTATTGCAACTAAGATTTAATTGCAACAGATGGAGGGCACTCGCTAGTATAGCTTTTTTTTTTTCATAAATTGAATTACTGTGGGTAGCAGAGTAAAGATTACACTACTAAATATATATACGTATTTGCATGTATACATACACTCATATATTCAACACTATATCCCTATTTATAGACTGGAAATTTCTAAGTAATAAAAATGAAAAGTATGGGCAGCTTTTGCAGGTGGAAAGTGAATGTGCTTACAGAAACTATAAGGAAATTATCACGCTAACACAGTGCTATGACTATGAAAAAAAACTGAGGGGATGTGATGACTCTATAAATACACGCACTGTTCTTACAAAATTCAGGACACTGTACATCACTGTATTCTTATTCTGCCTCATTTAATACTCACAGACAGACTGTAAGAAGGTTCCAGTATCACTGGCACTGACATCTTCCCTTGAAGATTTAATTTTGTTAAGTAAAAAATCTTTTCTCCCACAATCCTCTCTTTTTTCACGCGACGTACGCTGTACAGTCTGAAGCGAACGGCATAATTCCCAATCATCTCAGACTCAACGTGATTAAATTTGAATGTCTCTGTGAAGACAGGGCACGGTCCCCGCTGGACAGTCGTTTTTGCTCTCTGCTTCTTTATAGGGAGAAGAACTAGGTGTACTTGCCACGAGCTTCCACCTGTCCTGCTGTATGTGGGAATGTCTGTGACAGCTGTCACTGTCACCAAAAGCTTCTGTTCCTGTGAGTCATAGTCAAAAGTCACATCCAGTGTGCCATATTTAGCTACTGGCTCAGGATCAAAAGGTTTAGGAAGCTGTGAAGATGATCCTCGAGCTGACATATCCTGAAGAAGAAGAAGAAAAAGCAGTTTTTTATTTATTTATTTATCGTATTCTATTACTAAATCTAGCGTGGAAATATACGCCTTTCTCTCAGCAATATGAAATGACTATGATCTTTTTGTTCATTTCATAAACAAGGTAATTAAACACTGAAAGCCTGAGGAGACAGCTGACTAGCAGCCAAGAAGAAATCAAAAGACTTTACCTGGCCAATGCTGCCAAAAGCCAGCAGCCAATCAGACAGAGCTCACATTATATTAGTTTGTATTTATGATCTCTTCTTCTGTGCCCCACGTTAAAATACATACACAATTCTTACGACAGAACTACCTTATTTCAGCGTGAGCATACACACATTTTTAAGTTAACATATTACAGTGCTTTAAGAGCTGGCCAGTGATTCAGAGCATGGTGAAAAGCCAGCAAAGAATACAGGAATTGCAACACCTGCTTGCACATGCAGCTCTTGTTGCAGTCCACAAGATTTCTATAAATGTGCCAAAAATTATCATGGCTTTATTAATGTAATTTTACTAGAACTGTGTAAGATGTGTCTGTTTTGAAAACACTTTCTGAACTTTCTGGAAATGGCATCAGTTCTAAAACTGTATTTTAAACTTAATTTTAAAATTGTTTATTGCCACTTTAAATTTTGAGTAAAATATTGATGCTCTGTATTTTTAAAACAGCTAGTTTGACAGTGATATTGAGAAACAAAATATTTACAAGTACAGGTCAACCTACTGTTCATATACTAAGTTATTCCAAGTACGTAAAACAAATGTATTTCCTGTGTGTTTCTGTATTATCAAAGATACACTTGTTCATGAATATCAACAGATGCCACACTAAAGCTTTCTGGATTAAAAAATGTTATGTTCTTATTTTAAACTGGTTGCTACAAAGCTATAGGAGTTCATTCCTCTGGAAGCTTCAAGTTGTTGAGTGGCTGTAAAAAAGGCTGGCAGTATTCCCCCTTCTTACTGGGCACACTTACATTAATGACTGGTGTGACACAAAGCGGGAAGAACTAGGATTAGATTTGCTGCCATCTGTTAGGCCTCGAGGACCATATGCACCCACTATGTCTTTACCAGCAATGATGTTCACACAGATTGTGGTCGTAGCTGATCATCAGGTACATGCAGACAGCTACTGCAGGACCTTGCATTCAGATAGCAGATGGGGCTTCCAGATGTTGCACAAACACCCCAGGTATGCAATATCAACTTACCAAGAGATCTACTAAGACAGAAACAGCTGCTGGCACATCCGGACTGAGCCCTAATATGCAACCTTCAAAACTTCAGGTAGACAGAAAAGACAAATTTGTACCAAAACCAGCCTCTTCTGCACATGACGTGTAGACTTCTCCATAGATGTCAGTGCAGTGACTGGTTGTTAAAGACATTTCAAGGAAATATATGCCAGAAAATATTATTTCTTCATAGTAAAAATAAATAGGTATCACTACAGTTTATAGCAGAAAAAAAAGTAAAATTAAATGGAACAAATCTCTATACTACCATTAACAATTCAAAAAAATTCTTTGTAATAAAAGACACTTTACATTATGGAGTGTTCAGTTTGAAAAGTGCTAACAGTTTTTTATTTTTTTGAGTTACTTGAAAAATTATGTGGAAGAAAAAGAATTATGACTACAGTCCTTATAGTGTGATGAAGTTTTCTGACTTGATTAAAAAAAAATTTCACTCTTACTGGGAGCTTGTTTGAAAGTTACGATGCCAGAAAGATAACTACAAAGAACAATCTGAAATTCTACTGTAATATTTTCTGACAAACTAACTTTATTTTAAATGAATGAGCTGCAATATTAGTGTTCATATATCTGTACATTGATCTTTAGGAAAAATAAAAATCTCTCAAAAGGTTGCACTGCATGATGCTTCAGAACACTCAATTGTTTTCATTTACCTCTGGACTAAGGACAGCTGTGCTATCACTTGGTACATCCTCTTCATATCCTTTATTATGAAAGCTTTCTATTTCGTGTCCCGTGCTTCCCTCACTTGGGCACTTATATGAACATCTTGGACTGTTGCTACACTGGGAAAATTCACATTTACTGTCTCCGACTTCAGAAGGCGTACATGAAAGATGAGGAGAACCACTATCATCCTGGTACGGAGGCGGCTGCAGTTCATCTAGCGGAGGTGTTCTTCTCATTCTCTGAATGCAGTTTGCTGAGAATAAGTGAAAATTCTTTACTTACTTTCTGATCATTTACTGTTGAACAGTTCTGTGGAAAATGGTAAGTCCAAACATCTGGACGCAGTATTTAAAACCTCTAAATGTCTTTTATTACTTTACATTTTAAATTAGGTAACGAACACTACTGAAAAATATTTGTTTAAAAATGGAAACAAATGATCTCTAAGATGAAAAGAGATGTGGGGGAAAAAGCAAGGTATTAAACATATAGTCACAATGGACTGTGTAAACCATATAAAAATATATATAGCACAAATATGACATGACAAAAATTCTAGGCTTGAATTTCAGTGATGCTTACCTTGCAAAAACCTTTGGATATCTTAAGTCAGACACTGTACAGGTGGAATGTCGACCAATTAAGGAAACAAAATGCACTCCCTAAAGCCATGATATCAAACTTACGATTACCTCCCATGCTGTTGCTTACCCAGGGAGAAACTAAACCCTGAAGACAAATAAGGCACTAATACAGGCAAACACAATCCTTTTCACACAAGTGAACTCTGATCCAGCAAATTTAACAAGGGAAGTTGTGTCTCAGATTCTTGATTACTCGTTAAGGACAGCTCAGGCCCAGTGTCTAGGAGTTAGACACTAGGTCTAGTCACCAAAGGCAGTGGAAAAAGGACCATGAGCAATCTTGTGCTTGGGATGAATACTTGATGATGATGACGATCTTTGCTTCTCAGTTGCACTAGCTAGCTAGATAGAAATATGGTTATACATCTCCTCAGAAAATAAACCCAGGATGCACAGCTACGGATACAGAAAGCTAATTCAAAATAATTACAATTCAATTTTTAAACTCATATTTTACTACACAGCATGACACAGCTGACTGGATTTGAGAAAAGACAGCAAGGTGTGCAGTAGCTGAAATGAAAGGAATGCCAAGGATAGGTAAAACCAGTATCACATTTTGTTTACATCTTCTGTAGAGGTTTTAATGAAGATTTTGATGCCACTCACATGTAGAATTAACTTACACACAAAAATTTCAAAGCAACAATGTCTTCTCGTATCAGACATGTCACTTTCACTCACAGAAAAGATCTACCAAATAAGGAAGTTAATGAAAGTATTAACATTAGAACAACATCAGCTTTGATTTCAGATTCGTCTAAGAAAGAAACTGATTTTTCCCACATGACAAAGGTCATACATTTTACTTTCATCATCATATTTTTGTATACAGGATCTCCCTGCCTGTGCCCTAAATTCTCACCAAGTATATCAACCTTTCAACTGCTTCTGAGGTAATTACCAGTTGTTCAACATATCACATAAACAGAGTATGCGTAAGAGTTACCCTGAAACAAGGCTGAAAACACAGTAATGTGGCTCTCTTGGGAAACAAGCAGTCTTCACGACAGGCTTCCTTTTGTTCTCCTTTCCTTTGGAAGTCTGGGCTGTATCCGAATGTGGCGTGCAAGACATTTCACAGCTTCTGGGACTTGATGTAAACCCAAACCACTGTGGTTTTGGTACACACCATCCATGGGAAGCAAACTCAGACATGTTGGCCAGAAGGGAGCCAATGTGCGTTGCACATCCCCAAACCTGGGTAACTGAAGGACAGGGACAGGACAGCTCATTATGGAGCGTATCTACTGCACAGATAAATAAAGGCCTCAAAGATAATCAGGGAATGCAGGGCTCTTCTCTATTTCACTGGGCTCCTAATGGAACTCCTCTTAGCTTTAGAAAAGGCAAATGAGTAATTAAAACAATGCAAAGCACTCCTACCAGATGATACCACTGTCACGAATCGTCTCTTCTCTGATAAACCCATCAGAGCCAGCCTACCATTCAGAGCAATTCCAAGTTACTCTTACAGCACTCATGCAAAATGTCTTCTGCTGGTAGTTGTCCCAGTGCCACTAGCCCTTGAAACTCCAGTCCCACAGGTCTGGAAAAGAAAACAGAGCAGGCACGGAATCCTATACTTGAATTATAGTCATCAGTCTAGCAGATACACATAAAAACTTCCATACGAAACTGAGTTAAGTGGGACTGTCAGAATCTTGAAATCGCCATGCAGGAATAGTGAGAAAGCTTTATTTACAAAACATGGAGAGATCTGTGAAAGCACTTTTCTTTTTAATATTAAATAACTTGTGCCCATGAAACCGGACAGACCTAATTTTAGAATCTACACTGGTATTTGATTCATTATAAATATTCATTATAATAGTAAATAACCTTTGACCATGAAATACCATGAAAACAGGACTTCCTTCTCATAATCTATAGTTATTCTAGCAAATTTAGAGCAACAGCATTTCTGCTCATTGTTGCTAAAAGGCAACAAATAGCCTTAATGAGAGAGTAACCACCACACAGCTATGACTTCTTTCTCTTCACTTGTAGTCTAGTCTGCGAGGACTTTTTAACTCCCAGCTTTTCCACAATCTAAAGAAATGAAAGCGTGTCCGGGTAACTATCAACACCATTATTGTCTTACATGAGTAAATAAATGACTGTGTGACTCACTTTTTTCACTTTGATGAACTCCATTATATGTCCCTATGGGAAAACTGCACAGGCTGTGTGACAGAAAAGGTACTTTTAATGTAGGCGGGGAAGAAGAGAAGAAAAGAAAATTCTTATTAACCAGCTGTGATTCAAAAAAATTGCAGAAAAAGCTGAAATCCTGGGGCTGGTTTTAACTATTTCTGAAAGTTTAGTTAATCAAACAGAAACAGCAAATAAATTCTTAAACCAAATATCCAGATTTAAAAAATCTAAGGACACCTCCATCTAAACAGGCATAAACTGTGTTCCAACAAAAAGTTTCTGTACATAAAATATATGAAAGTGTTCAAATGAGTTTTTAAAGTAGAAATGTCGTATTTGAAATCAAATTCCTCCTCCCCACATAAATGATGTAATAAAATGATCATGTCATGTTATGGCTCTCTGAAAACACTGCAAATCTGAATTACATGAATCAAAGACAAAGGATATCACAGACAGCACTGAATACAGTAACACCAAATAACTGATACTGCGTATTTTCCTTAAAAAATATATAGAAGTAACAACTAACTTCAACAATCAATTGTCAACAACATTTTGCGTATGTATGAAAGTTTAAAACAAAAAAAAAAACACTGCTAATGCATGCTGGTCTATCTCTGATTGTATGGGAGAAAAACATTTAGAGCTGGAAGGAAAGCACCTTCTGAAGTGTTGCATATTTGCATATAGAACCACTGTCTATAACATACCTTGTACCTTTCATTTAAGGTGTAAACTTACACACAGCTATACTTGTGCATAGTGGTACACTGTGGCAAAACCAAGGAATACCTTCCCAAGACCACTGAACGTGGCTAATAACATCTGCTAAAGAGTTACTCTTAACAAGCAAATAGTTACAGTGAAAATCTAAAATTAATTATTGCCTTGTTTCTATGCAAGCTTCCCAAGAAATACTCTCAAACCAGATAGAAAATAAATTTTGTAAATTCCCCCAATCAAATTAATCATATTATATTACCATATGATTTTGGACTAGACAGGGTGAAAAACAAGCCAACATATATCTCGAACCTGGAAGAAAGGAATAATCAAAGAGAAACAAAATTGAGTTTAGCCTGAGCTTCCTACCAGCCAGAAGATGCCACAACAGAGAAAAGACAAAAAAAAAGTTAACAGGATGAAGATCCCACATCTAGTCTTTCACCCAAAATATCTGAAATAACTTTGCATTCTCATGAGTGAAACTAAGTTGTTCATAACAAATATTTAGTAAACCTAAATTGAGAATACAATGTATTGCTGTCAATAGGCAGATCTGAATAATCAATCTTTTAAGGGTTAACTGCTTTAGTTAAAATTTTCACCCTTCTTTAGTGGGCGGAGAAAACACTTATACAGCGATAACAGTAAAGTCCTTGCTCAACAGCTGAAGAAACCAGAACTGTAAGTGAAATACCTGACAAACACAAGCAGGTAAGTATTTTGCTGGTAAACTCAGAAATTACAGCATATAATCTGTCATTAGCTCATATAAGTGAGAAGTAAATAAATACCTTCTTTTTATACTGTTTGTTAAACAATGACGTTTAATCTGTTTTCGTAAGTGCCTGTACAGGGGACTGATTGAAAGCCAAGGGGTGTTGCGGGTGTGCATGGCAAGGTTTTGGTAGTGGGGGGGCTATAGGGGTGGCTTCCGTGGGAAGCTGCAAGAAGCTTCCCTCATGTCCCACAGAGCCAACGCCAGCTGGCTCCAAAACGGATGCGCTGCTGGCCAAGGCCAAGCCAGTCAGTGACAGTGGTAGCGCCTCTGGGATAACATATCTAAGAAGGGGAATTAAAAAAAAACTGAGGGGAAGTGAAGAGAGAGGAGTGAGACGATGTGAGAGAAAGCACTCTGCACACACCAAGGTCAGTGAAGAAGGAGGGGGAGGAGGTGTCGGAGCAGAGGGTCTTACCTTGCAGCTTGTGATGAAGACCATGGCGAGGCAGGTTGTTCCCCTGCAGCCCATGGAGGTCCATGGTGGAGCAGATATCCACCTGTAGCCCGTGGAAGGGACCCCACACCAGAGCATGTGGATGTCTGAAGGAAGCTGTGACCCTGTGGGGAGCCCATGCTGGAGCTGGCTCCTGCCAGGAATCTGCGGACCCGTGGAGAGAGGAGCCCAAGCCGGAGCAGGTTTGCTGGCAGGGTTTGTGACCCTGTGAGGGACCCACGCTGGAGCAGCCTGTTCCTGAAGGACTGCAGCCCGTGGGAAGGACCCATACTGGGGCAGGGGAAGAGTGTGAGGAGTCCTCTCCCTGAGGAGGAAGAAGCAGCAGAGACAACATGTGATGAACTGACTGCAACCCCCATTTCCCGGAGGAGAGAGAGAAATGGGAGTGAAGTTGAGCCTGGGAAGAAGGGAGCAGTGGGGGGAAGGTGTTTTAAGCTTTAATTTTATTTCTCATTATCCTACTCTGATTTGATTGGTGATAAATTAAACTA